CAACATTGTTGAAGAACAACCTGCATAATACCTTCAAAAGTGCTCAACAATTTTCCAGACAAGATGTGTGGTGTTTTGTTTTTTTTTTGAAGAAAAATTATGCCAACCACTATGCCAACATAGGTAGGGAAATCTGTACTGGCCCAGTAGCATCATCTGCAATAGACAGATAAACCTTCTGGCTATTCTGGTCAGTCTTCATTAAAAAAGACACAATAGAAATATAATAGCTTGTGTTTAAAATGCTGCATTAATATCACTTTGACCTGAGCTGCACTGTCCAATCACCTTTTTAAACATGTCACAGGACTGTTACTACTTCGCCTTTCTAAAACAACCCAATTCCTCCCAAGTATGCTGGAAAACAGTAATTTGACTGCTGTGACAAGACAAGAAAGAGTTAACTGTTCAAACACCTGATTGGAGTCTCTCAAGAGCTGCATGTCCAGGGGTGGATTTTTTAAAACTATATGTCATTCACTGCAATGGGAAACCATAGTATTGATGTTAATAGTAAAGTATCTTTTATGAGCCATGGTCTATACACAATGTAGGGCTGCATTAACTTCAAAGGTGGTAAGGAGATTAAAACAAATAGTTCATGGGACGTGACATGCAACACAGCATTAAACATAGAAGACTGAACAATCCCAGTGCCTTGGCAGGATCCTTTTATATTTCTTTGTTAATGAGGGAAATTCTTAAAATCCAATCCGGCAAGCATAAGTGTAAGGAAAAGCTTTTAAAATGTTATCACAACGTGTTATTTAGTTGAGCTAATCATCAAAGCATTTTTTTATGGCAACAAAAGGGGGCTTTCCTTACCAAAATCAATACAACTCACTTTAAGATACCATATTAGTGCTGTTTTTAACCCCTAAAATGTGCCCCTCACGTTTAACATTTCCGGGGGTGGGGGGAAGACCGAAAATCACACCACCGGTTTCTAAGAGTCACCCCTCCCCCCTACTGCAGACAGAAACCATCCCAAGAACCTGGGACTCTTACTATGATCTTGGCAGCATTCAATCTCCCTGGTGCTAAGTTAGAAAGAACATGATAAAGGATAGTGACATGGAAGCAGGAAGTGCTTTACTGGAAAACTGGCGGTGGAAACTGCCCTTCCCTTTACAGTTGCTCCAGGACTTTCCTGGGGTCCCCACCACTCTATAACCCAGTGGGTCTCAGCCCTGTGGTCCTGGGAACCTCAGGAGCGCTTCACCAGGGAGCTGGTTAGAGATGCAAATTCAGGGCCCCACCCCAGGCAGACTGAATCAGAAACTCTGGGAATGGGGCCCAGCAATTTGTGCTTTAACAAGCACTACAGGAGATTCTGGTGTACTTTAAAGTTGGAGAACCGCTCCCCTTCAAACTTTAAAGTGCAGACGAATCACCTGGGGAGCTTGTTCAAATGCAGATTCAAATCCAGCAGGTCTGAGGTGCGACCTGAGAGCCTCCACGTCACACAAGCTCCCGGGTCAAGTCTTCAGCAGGCCACACTGCCAGTGTTTCTGAAACCGGTTGTTTACCAAAAATACACCGGGCTGCTTATAAAATACGGGTTCCCAGGCAACACCCCAGACCAAGTTCATGTGAATCTCAGGAGACAGGGCCAGCTGAATATTGTACAACGGGTGGTTCTCTGCCTCAGCTGCACAGTAAAATCACCTGAGGAGCATTTAATAATCCTGATGCCCAGGCCCCATCCAGGACCAACTCAATCCGAATCTCTGGGATTGTGGGGTGGGTATCCATAGGTTGAATAATTCCCCAAGGATTCCACTGGGTGGCCAAAGTTGAGAACTGCCGCTTCATATCTAACGGGCTCAACACTTGGCACAGTGGATCCCTTTATTGTAGCAAATGGTTTCCCGTAACATGACTGTCTGGGTTCCCACATGAGTCCAAGACCTCGGATTTTGAATAGTAAAAAGCAACCAAAGTCACGTTTAAAATCATGTCTTAAACCTTATTTCTGTGGGCAAATGGGCCTGTACAACGGAGACCAGGGATTTAGTAATGCGTTCCTAACTTTTAACATGAATGTTATCTGTCTTCCATTAAACAAGTTTTCACTGTCCTCTCAAGCTGTAGCTACTGCCACCTCTGTGCGGTGAATAGGTACTCCAAGAAACAGCTACCAACAGTGAAGAATTTGTATCCATACAGCCTGTTCATATATTGACATCCTTTCCCCAAACCTGAAACACATAGAGGAAACTTCTAATAATCTTTCAGAATGGAAGCGTAATTTGATCTAGAACTTCTAAACCTGTAAAAGGCAGATTTCACTACGTACAGACATTGTGACAGAACAGCCCTGGGAAGGGGTGAAAGCCGTGTGCTTTTACACGTGAGAATCTGAGTTGTTGAAAGCATGTCTTTTGGTGGACAGAGACAAGACCTCAAACACTGCTGCTCATGACATGATACTAATAACTCGGGGAAAAAAAGAAGTATGTCCATTTACAGCTTATGCCCCGCCCCCCCAGCACAAAGCCACTAGTAAGTACACGATGCTGTTAAATACGTAATATGTAAAACAGAAAATGTGTGGTGGTCATGAAGGCGCTGTCAAGAGATTAGTTACTTCACTCCCACAAACACTGCTTTTAGGAAATTTTCTCGAATTTTCCACAGTACACCTCAAAAATGACTTTAAGACAAATGAAAATAAGACGCAATCCTCTTTCCCCTTAAGTAAACGTTTGTCTTCCCTTTGGTCGTGATCAGTGTCTCTTCTAAATTAGTTGTTTTGTTGAACACATGACACATTCAAGGCCTGCTAGATGGTAATGGTTATGATTCTTCCACCACTGTTTCAACATATCTGTGATGGTGAAAAGTGTGCCTTATCTGTTTAAGTCCATGAAAAAGAAATCCAGGGGATGGGGTATTAGAAGACAAGCAATACCTTAAAAACATGTGCCAAGTGGCCAGTTAAAATGACAGCGTCAAAACCCTTTTCTGTGTGAACTGGTCAAGCTCACTTTCCTTTTAAACTTCTCGTTATAGTCATTCAGTTAACCCAAACTCACTTGAAAATGTGTGAAAATAGCACCTCCCGAAAGTGTGTTCTCATATGCTTTGGAGCAACGGAGCGTGAATAGTAAAACAGCCTTTGCCAAAGTCATGTAACTGAACAGGAGTGAATTTTTGCAGTCCCATGACTTTGCAGAGCCAACCTATGTATCATCCCACGACTGGCTTTAATACATCATAGACATCCAAGAGAAGCCAGAGAAGTCACAAATAAGTGACTCAAGCTAATAAATATTTCACAGATCTTTTTTTTTTTTTTTACATGGCAGTTTCTTTCAAATGAATCTGACCTCTTAACCAAAAACCAAATTGGTTAAGTAAAGGTGTGGGTTTAGGATGTACATTCCCAGAATTAAAACTATGAAATTTCTAAAATATTTAGTTTACTGGGCAAAGTGTCAGTCTGGATGCTCTTTCATGCATTTTTTATGAATAAATGCCCAAAGATGAAGCAAGTCAGAATGAAAATGCACAGACCACAGAAGAGTGGCAAAAATACAAAATTAAATACATTTAAAGTACTAAGCCAAAGAAAACAAACAATACAAATTTAAAATTACCAGGACACTTTATTGCAATTTGCACTTTACATATTAATTTAATATTTTTAGTCTAGGCAGAAGTGTTTATACTTATTCAGTAGTAGTCTAATCCCCTAATCTCACAAAATGAAAAGAAGCAGTTTGAAAAGAACATCAATTCAGGTATTTATGATATGGCGACAAGGGGCACTTGTGTTAGCTAGGAAAAGGGTTGATGGTTTTCAGTAGAAGTTTCACAGAAATTTTTCTCTATTATTTTTGTTGTTGATGATGCTAAGAACTCATAATAAAAACAATTACCCTCTTTGTCATTCTGCCCTTCCTTGGGCTTTACATTCTGTCTAGCATTTAACTCAAAAAATCAGTTTACACTCAGTTTACACATTAAAAAAAAAAACCATATGCCCCATCTCCCACACATCCAAATGGATGGGGATTAGAATTAACCTGCTTTTAGCTGTAACTGCTATTTTAAACAATTTCAACCACACACTTGAAGGGTAAAATAACTGAAAGTACACAAGCCAAAAGAAAGCATAAAAATTCCTACACACTTACTGTTGGGATTGTTTAATTATCTCTCAAATCGTGGAGCCTAACAGATTTTTTACAAGTGAAATCGACACAAAAGCGAATGCACGCTTAACGTACAAACTGACAGTGACTGTATAGGGGACAGCTCTCTCTGAATGAGCTATTACGCAGGCGGTGGAATTAACAAAA